CGCGTGATTTGCCGTTTCGGTTGCGAGAAAGGGCGCGCAATGCACACGGTATCTGCAATTCCGGTTAAAAGCGAGGAATTTCTAAGAATTCAATTCGATTCTCGTCCATAATGTACAACCTTGAGAGTTGGACCTGGAATCGAGGTTTCTATTAATCCGGAGGATGAAATCGCGCTCCAGCTCTTGACCGATGAAGTTGTGTGCCACCGCTGGGGTATCGAATTAATGGAAAAAGTTTCGCGCGCGGGAAAATTGTTGCCATAAGTCGGCGAGCGAGAAATGAAACGGAACTCGCTCGGACCCTTTTTTTTTTCAATTAACCAGACGATTACGTCGACGATTCGCGATCGATTCGCGCGGCGGTCGCGTCGTTCGTTAATTCACTTGGAACAAAGTGGGATTCCGGAATACCGATGTTCCGTTTTACACGGCGAATATCGCTAATCGCCGGTGCCTCGTGCACAATTGCGAATAGTTTTCGACAATTGGACGCTTCTATAATGCAACTGTAAGATCCGCCCGCCCGCGCCGCCGCCGCTGCTGCATCGAGCGCGCTTCCGCTTTTCAACTCGCGAGCTCGCAAAGCATACCCGAATACGAAACTGTCCTCTATATTTCGCGTAAGTTTCCGCGCACAAGGGATTAATTCGCGACCGTTGTTTGAAGGAGTCCTTTGTAATTCCCGGCGCTAGAAAACGCGATACGCCATACTGGAAACAATGTTTAATGTTCTCTGTAAAGTGAGAGCGAGTATGATCTCTATGGTATCTCGGTAGGCGAAGTTGAAAAATGTAAAAAAGAATAAAAGGCGCACTCGTCCCTCCATTCACACAGAGTAGTCGTGGCTTTTTCTTTACGCGTAAATGAAGCATGCAAGTAGAAAACAAAAATACGTAAGAGAAAAGCCCGTATACATTATACCAGGCTTAGCTTCGTCTTCCGCGTAGACGGGGGACCTTTACCGCGTAAATCGAGGGACGAGTGTGCTTCTTTAAGCTGAAAATCTCTGTGCAACAAGGTATTTATTACTTCGTGAGATTCTTATTTATATCGGAAGTTTCGGAAACTGTTTAACGAGAATTTCTTGCACCGCTTCGGTTCTTTTAAACTGCCTCAAGTTGCAATACTAATTTGGATAGGATATATGAAGATTTCTACTAACGTACCGTACAGCAAACTTTCCCAGACGATTCATTACTGGTTTGAGATTAACGCGCAGCGCAAAATACATTTCAAGATAAGATAAAATGAGACTACGCGTTCTCTATTTTTAGGCTCGTATTTATACCTGTGCGACTCGGAAATAAAAATGTATAGAACGAGATAGATGTATAATCTCACGTTTGACGTCACAAATATCGAATCAAACTCTCAAGATCCATCTTCTGAACTGTATTACTTCACGAAATTGGTTTTAACCGAGTTTACTCGCAGAAACGCGATTATAAATACGGGCCTAAGTTTCCCCAACGAAGTTTTGCGGGTTGAATAATATTTCGCAATGTTGCGCGTACTTCGCAACGCTTCAAAGGCATTCTCGTATCGTAAGAATTTAACGACGGTGCCAGAATTCAAAGAACAATCAAGACCCAGAGTGCGCGAATTCTTTTAAGCGAATCGCGCCGAGGGATGGAGGAGCATTTCTCAACGCGGCGCAGCATTCCTTTGTTGTCAATGTGAATTGTTAAAAACACAATTTCTCCCCAATTACTGAACAGACATACCCAAGCTGGTAGATAGCCAGAAAGTCGGCGAGAATTCTTTTCATAAGATTCACGAAGGCAAAAGTAAAATCGTTAACACCCTGTGGGGGTTTCGAGCTTTAAGCTAATATTTTGAAAGACTCGAAGAAGCAAAGTTTATACAATTTCTCATACCGCGAAGACAAAAGAAACAAGGTATTACAATGTTCTCGCGATGTTTTCATAAATTACACACGTGTCATTAATTTACTTGAAAATTCCACGACTTAATAAAATTTACAAATAAAATACGTTCGAAGTCTGCTTGAAATCGCCCTAAAAAAAAGTGCGGGAGTAAAAGCCGGGAATAAAACTATATCGTTACGCGTCAGTGCAAGGAACAGTAGGGTGTACACACACCCCTCGTTGTACCTTCTCTTCCAAATAGGTAATGAGCGTCGTCGTCAGAAATCTAGTTTTATCGCGAGATGCTTTTCTAACCTCACCCGGATCTCCGCAACTTTCCGCACTGTTCGACATGCCGAGGCGTCCTTCCCCTGTTACAGCCACCCCCTCTCTCTCTCTCGCGCCCTCCCTCGTGCCGGAACTCCATTCCGACACCCTCGACGTATAATAACCGAAGTGTCCCGAAACGCGCGCGCTGCTCGTCGCCTGCGCATCGCGAAATATCCTCATCGCACCCCCTTCGGACAGTCCGCGGCGAAGGAAGGAACGGAAAGGGCTGCAGGATAACTGAGGGGCGAGGGGAGCAGGAGACACGAGGGAGGCACGAGCCCGACCTGAGCCATCGCGCCAGGAAACTTCCTCTCAGCGCGCGCGAAATCGATCAGATAGTGACGCTGGTGTGACGTCTTGTCAGGATCCACTCCGCAGGCTCTCCTCCTGCGGTCTTCACGTGGCTAATGAGGGTGTCGTGAACACGTGGGGTGTATATATATAGGAAATACTTCGGGTCTTGCCACGGGAATGGAATCCCTTGATATATCCAGAGTCAATTTGGAGTCCAATTTGCCCTTTGCGAAAGTATCAAAGCGATAGTCTTCGAGACCTCAAAGAATTTTGAAGAGATTGAGTTTTTACGGAGTTATTAGGGGGTGTCTCGGCTAAAAATGGACGTGAGATGAGATTCGCCACGGGTTTTGCAAACTTTCTCGATCGGCTAATCAGTCTGACACACGAGGCTCCTTAGACGACACCGTTTATCTTTGTTCCCCGTAGTATGCGTAGTTTTCCCTTACGACCGCGTTGCGAGGCAATGGATTTATCCCGATGGAATTACGCGCTGAAGAGATGTTTACGCGTAATGCTTTAAGAGCATTACGCCTCCCCGTTTCGAATTACGTAACGCGAGTACGACATGTCGCAATTAATCGCGAACGAAGTTAAGATTCAGCGACGCAACTCGATTTCCAGCGTTTCCCGATTAAACATATCGACGACGAAGCTACGTTGTTTATTCAAGTACGCGACCTGCATGCAGCTCCGGCAATAATATCGCGTACGATTCAGCGCGCATCAACGCAACGCTGTCGAAATTTCGCGATTTCGTGTACACTTCGATTCGTTTCCGCTTTACATATGCATGCAGCGTCCATTTGCGTTCTACCGCAACCCGGTATCATTTCATATTCCCGATCCTCGGATTAACTGATAACGCAGATTTATATCCTCCACCTATTTCTCACTCATCCCTCAGCGAGCATCTGCGCGTGGTTGATCGCCTAAAGTTGCGCAACGATCGCAAATACGCCAGACGAGATAAGTCGAATTTTAACTATCAACATCAAGAATTATTTGACGCCAGTACATGACTAACAATAATTAAGCTTTTAGTCGACCATAACTGGCAATGTGTTTTTAGCACAGAAAATTTTTTGCGAAAAATATTACCTCAGCCAGGGATTTGAACCTGGACTTCCCTACACTCTAGGTAGGCGTCTCGCCAATTCGACCACCGAGCTGTGAACTGCGTTCACAAAAGTCGAAAATATACGCGTAGACAACATCTATACTGTTATTGCGACAATTATTATCATATGCCTCGGTGGTCGAATTGGTGAGACGCCCGCCTAGAGTGTAGGGAGGTCCAGGTTCAAACCCTGGCGGAGGTAATGTTTTTCGCAATAAATTTTCTGTGTTAAAAACACATTGCTTATGGACGTCTACATTAATAAGAGACAACAGGTGGAAATGCAATTGACAGCTGCCCGAGTCGAAATTTTGGTACTACTTTGATACAATTGCAACCTACTTAACTGATCTATACACCTACGTGGACCAGCGATAACTTACTTTGATGACATTATATTTTTTACTCCTCCCTCGAATCTTTAATTTAAAAAATTTACTTTAGCTCCTACTTAAAACCTACTTTAATGCTAAGTTGGCAAAAGTAGAAATTTCCGACACTATCAGTTTTAAAGTCGGAGTCAATTTTGTACTTGCAGTTCGACCTCTTTTACTGTCTTAGGTCCTACTGAATAATAGAATTCAAGGCTCAACATGGGACCAAAATTTCGACTCGGGCGTACGCCACGAAATATTGACGAACATTTGTTATTCAGGAACGACGTTATCTATCAGCATGCAAATGCCATCCACTGGCACTAGATCTAAATTTGTCGTATCCAATTGTTTGCTGCCAGGAAGAAAAGGCGAGCGCGAGAAATATTAGAAACTTCCACGGCGACAATTTACATTCGAAGGTGGATGTATGAAGAGATTTGCCTTTTATTGACTCCTCTCCTTTTTTTTCCCCTCACCCTCTTGCGCGGAAGTGTCGACTTCCCTTCCCGCGTCCTTTCCATTCAGCTGACAGCGAACGTCATATTCATTCACCACCGAGTCAGATCGACGTGATATACGATGATCTCCCTCAAGACCGGATGCCAGGCGATTACGCAAGCCAGTCGAGACCGACGTACGCACCGACGACGCACGCTCGCCCCGGTACGCCGTCTTCGCCTTGTCCTTCGTCCTGCATCGGCCGGTCGCGAGGCGAAGGCTTCTTGCCCCTAACCCTCGAGGAGGGTAAGGGGCGCGAGCTTGCGCTCTGAGCTGCTCGTCGAGCAGCTCTGGGACGAGGGGCGCGAAGAGGAGGACCGGAGACGGAGTGGCGTCAGGTGGGGTTGAGAGGTGAGCTTTTTCGGGGGAGGACGCGTTCGTTCGCTGTAGAACGTGGCTGGTGCAGGGGGTTGTCGCGGCACACTGACAGGAAGGTGGGAAAGAGGGAGGGGGGCCGGGGGGGTGTGAGGTGTAGTGGTGGCGGTTCTTCGGTGGGAGAAACGGTAGACCCGGGCAGTGCAAGCCGGGCTGCCTGCCCGACGATACGGTCGCTCTGTTGGGGTGTCGCGGTAATTTGTCTCTTTTTTTTCCTCTGCACTCAGCCTCAATATCGCTCGTTCAGGACGTCGGTTTCTTCGTTCTCCTCTCTTCCCTCCCTCTCTCTCTCTCTCAGGCGTGCACGTCGGTCGCGGTCGTGTCTTGTCAGGGGGGGAAGACAGGCGGGCGCGCGCTACCTGTGTCAAGACAATACCGGAAAGCACGTGCATCCGTGCGAAAGGGAGCCGAAGAGCGTGCTCGAGGAATCGTACACGCACCCCTACTCCCCTCTTGGAAGCTCGTGCCGCTGACAAGTAACAGGTTGGTGTTGTAGCAACGTCTTTAGGAGCGAGCGATCGCGATCGATCTGTGCCGGAGATTCGTGGGGTACCGTGCGCTCGTGCACGCAGCGAGGCGGTTTAACTACCGCCACTCCGTTTTCGACGGTCAATTTGCGGACATAGACGCACTAGGGATGCCAGAAATCAAGAGCGTAGTCGGGTAACCAGCTGGTGATGGGAACGTCCGGAAAGATTTGTACCCGAGAGAGGCATATACGTGACATATGCGCGCAACGAAGTGCCCCCCCCCCCTCCCCCAAGTACAAGCAGCTGCCGTTCAAGTCGCGCTTTCGCCAGTCGTTTTTTTATGTACGCTAATTGCTCGCGAATCATCTTGGAGACAGAGGCGCACGGGATTACGAGAGTGATCGCGATCCGAGGGGAAGTAGTGCATAATCTGTGCAAAGGTGGCGAGACATGTAGTACTTTCGGTGATCAATATTCAGGTGTGAACTCGTTACAACTTGCGACGATATAGGTGATACAGATTTAGGTAAAATCTTAAAGCGGAAAACACACTCGGGAGCATCGACAATGGCGATCGGTGAGGGAGAAATTAATTACACGAGCGAGAAGCCCCGATCATTTGCTCGTCTACAGTGTATTTTTGACCCTGACCGCCATTTTGTAAATTTTATGCAGCAACACATCTCGAAATGAGAAAATAATGTATTTCGAGCGCGGCGATGCGGCGCGTCGTGATTGTTGAACGTCATACGTTGTTGTGAAAGTTGGTATCTATCAATTCGTTCTTGTTCCTTTGTTTGTCCTTCTGCATACAATTTACCTGTAACGAAAGAACGAGGAACCGAGAGAGTCGATAGGCCTTCCCGAGTTGAAATTTTCGCCCTATGTTGAACCTTTAATTCTATTGTATGGTAGGACCTAGGACAGTAAAAGAGACCGAACTGCAAGTACAAAATTGACTCCTACTTCAAAACTGATAGTGTCGGAAATTTCTACGTTTGCCAATTTAGCATTGAAGTAGGTCCTTTTAAGTGGGAGGTAAAGTAAATTTTTAGAATTAAAGATTCGAGGGAGGAGTGAAAAAATATAATGTCATCAAAGATGGCTATCGCTGGTCTATGCAGGTGCACAGATCAGCTAAGTAGGTGTAACTTATTCTTAAAAGTGTCAAAATAGTACTAAAATTTCGACTCGGGATCTACGCTACTTTTCACACGTTCGTTATCTCCATTTTATGAAACGTAGAATTCGAGACGGATAAGAAAATGACAAGTCCTGCAATCGTAAATTGCATCTTTCGAATTTGAAATGTTCTAATTAACCGCGGCCAAGTAACAGGTTGACGAGGGTAAATCGCAATTTTGCGCCTCGTAGTCGCCAGTGCCCGATAACGATCGATTTGCTACGAAATGCAGCTGTTTGCTCTCTGGGACGGTTAATGAGGTGATAGATGACAGGCGATGGATGACGCGCCCGGTGGTTTCCGCGGTCGGTCTCGGGCCGCGCCAACTCGATATAAGTTGGCGAGTTCCGTGCTAAGTAACAGGTTGCCTCGGTCGCAGATTAGAGCGGAGATTTGTTGCGCGTCAGGCTCCGGCTGTGCGCGGGTATTACGATACGCAATTAAGTTACACGCGTAACAAGCGAGGCAGAGTTGAGCTCGGAGCACGGAGTACCAGTCGTCCTTCAGCTGGGATCACGCTGCTCCATCTGCGTCGCGCTATTCTGGCCGCTTTCCTTTTAGGAGACACAAATCGACACAAGCTAACGCGCTCGAGCCCAGTTTGCCGCCGTGAAATGGCGAAGATTTAAAGAACAAGAACATTTTCGGAACAGACTTTAATGATTACTTGACCATGTTTGACAAATTTTAATGTTTAACAACGAAAGAACGTGAATCGCCAGTAGTCGATTAACGATAAAAAGAATTGTTAGATGTTTAATGTTTAAGTTCACAACGTTTCGACCATGGTTTGTGATCCTTTTCAAGTGATAATTGTGTCAAAAGTTCAGTGTGTTAAATTGAAGGGAGAGATCTTGATTTCACAAAAGGCAGAACATGACTGAACATGACTCAGTCTTTTGTGAATTCAAGATCTGTCCCTTCAATTTACCACGCTGAACTTTTGATACAATTATCACTTGAAAAGGGCCACAAACTATCGAAACGTTGTGAACTTAAACATTAAAATGTGTCAGACGTGGTCAAGTAATCATTGAAGTTTTCTAATTATTACTGGCGACGCTGAAGATAACCTCTCGTTATTTCAAGAAAGGGTTCTGTCGAAAAGAAGATTCCGAAATCCTCGGCGCGGATGCGTTTCTTCGGTCAAAAACACACCCTCCTCCCGAGCAGAGTGGAAAAGTGTCGATATGTGTGAAAAATGTCACCTGTGTTCTTTAAAGACTTGGTCCAAGTTCTAGCATCGTGAACACAGGCCTTAAAAGGAAAGAGGTCTTCTTAACGACATCCGATCGAGTTCACCTGATCTAAACGGCTAATATTCTCGTGAACTGAGAACGGTTTGAGTAACAGGTTGGCCCTCCCAAATTCGACGTTTAGGACTATCGAGGCAGCAGTCGAAACTACCTCATGTGACTATATACGCGGCGGTTCGTGCAATGAACGTCGTACACAGTTCGAAAGGATTTGCAGATATAGTTTTACATTAAACAACACATTTAATGCCGCATACATTACGAATTAACATAACGAATACGCGTTTCGTCGCTCAAATATGCGCGCTTGATTACAATTTGTTTATTATCGTCGCAGGTAAAGAGAGTTTATGTTCTCCCGCCGCGTAATTGTCGCATATCTCGAAAACACACAGAATAATTATTGCAGAAATAATTATTTTAAATGTCCCGTGAGAAATTATATTTCAACATTAAATCGGGGATACCGTCACATTTTGCCACGCGTACATACAATTATATCCGCCGATATCGATTCTCCCTTTTCAGACCTTAAAGGGCTTAAAAGGCTCGCGCACTCGGGCGTTCTGTAGTTTCACGAAACTTTTCTTGTTTCCCGCGATATCCTATTATGGACGCTTATTGTCCTTATTGCGACGATGTAAGAAGCGGAACTTCTTTACGTGATCTTATGCGTAAACTTACGGTCTGAGTACGAAGAGTATTATCCAATACGTGACGCGAGATATTATAGCGAGACACCGATATCATCTTAATCCATTGTCTCCCCGAGTCGAAATTTTGGCCCAACGTTGAACCTTTAATTCTATTATACAGTAGGACCTAAGAGAGTAAATGAGGTCGAACTGCAAGTACAAAATTTACTCCTATTTTAAAACTGATAGTGTCGGAAATTTATACCTTTGCCAATTTAGCAGTAAAGTAGGTCCTTTTAAGTGGGAGGTAAAGTAAATTTTTAGAATTAAAGATTCGCGGGAGGAGTGAAAAAAATATCATGTCATCAAAGATGGTTATTGCTGGTCTATGTAGGTGCATGGATCAGCTAATTAAGTGTAAATTATCTTTAAAAGTGTCAAAATAGTACCAAAATTTCGACTCGGCTCCCCGTCCGTTTTTACTCGAGCCTGAAATAATTTCGATTTCGCGCTCTTTACTTTCTCGACCGGCTGTTCTCCTCCGAGTATCTATCGGCAAACGAAGCAAATTTGAGCAGACGAGGAAATACACGTCGATAACGCGATATCAATTCCGATACGATAGACTCGGAGAGATTCCTACGGATACGCTGCTGCGACAGATAACGACTTGCATCCTTCAGGCATCTAACTCGCTTATTCGCGGAGACGTCTCGTTCGAGGAAAGTGTTTCCTCTTTATTTTATTTCAATGCAAATAATTTTATACGAACAATTTTGGTAAAATGAATAACTAATATTACAACCGCAAGCGCGCGCGAGGTTTTATTAACGCGTTGAATTTCCGTCGAAAAATGATGTTTCCGCGAGTTTAATTAAAACGTCAGTTACCACGCGCCGTGTGAAAATGATCGTGTCGGCGAATTATAAAAAAAAATCAGCGAAACCGCATTTCGCGATTGTTGAACAACGGCTGGGGTCAAACGTATGCGTTCGCGGTGAGGCCCGGTGCCTTTTTCTCGCGCGTTTAATTCGCGACCGTACCAGAGTCGAAATTTTGACTCTATGTTGAACCTTTAATTTTATTATATAGTAGGACCTAGAGCCAACGGCTACACGATACTATTTTTTCCTACTGGATTGCTTACGTGAGCCAATCAGGACTTAGCTTTAAGTCGCCTGATCTAAAACTCTGCATACTGCAAGTACAACATTTACTCCTACTTTAAAAACTGATAGTGTCGGAAATTTCTGCTTTTGCCAATTTAGCATTAAAGCAGGTCCTTTCAAGTAAATTTTTAGAATCAAAGCTTCGAGGGAGGAGTAAAAAAATATAATGTCATCAAAGTAGGCTGTGTCGCTGGTCTATGTAGGTGTATAAATCACCTAAGTAGGTCTAAATTATCCTTAAAAGTCTCAAAATAGTATTAAAATTTCAAATTTTACGCTCGCTCATCCATACACAGCCGTAAAACCTTTAACGAACGGTATATATGTATATACATATAATAGATTAGACGATACATCCCCGAGGAAATCACTGACGCGATACTTTCCGGCGGACAGTAATGTCTAGTATTGTCAATTGGAATTACATCCCGTACACTTTTAACTTCGAGGAAAATTGATCGAAACGGGAGCAGCTGCTCAACTGAGCTACGTCAGAATGAAAGCCGCGCGCCGGCCATCGTGACCGAATTTTTGAAGCGGCGGTTTCGTTATTGGTAAGCCAATAGCGGCTTCAATAAGCGACGTTAACGTGGCCGCCGCACACAGCCATCGAGAACCAATAAATTCAACGTAACGCAGAGCGGCAGCCGTTGGCGAGACGCCAACGAAGCCGGGGCGCGCGTATCCGCACAAAGGTAATGTTTCCGCGGCGCCTTTTCTCATTTCGCAAATTGGCTTCCGGTTCGCGCTTCAAGGCTCCCGCGCGAGTT